CAAATGACAGACAAAAGACAAAAGGCCGCAAAGGTCAAATGTAAAACGCGATGAATCTCTAACAAAACAGTCAATATTTGTGGAATATAGTCTTCTCTAAAAGTAGCATTTGAGTTTTGCTCCAGGTCATTTGCAGATGAACACAACACTTCTCCAAAATCGACCAGGAGAAATGTAAAATTGAACAAATAATTTGCATTTGGAAACCCATGACTACCGGATTTATTTATGTAAACATTGATTTACGTCAGCAGTATGGAATTTCTGTCGCTGAGTCGCAGACGTTCCTCCTCACGAAACGTCCCTCAGCAGCAATGAGTGAGGAGAAACGTCTGTCATTCACAGGCTACACGTGTATTAGCTTCCTTTTGAATGGTGGTAACATCCATTTAAACAGTTTACAGTATTATACTTAAACATCAATTTCCCTCTCAAAGAGTTGATTTTTTACCAAGCAATGCAGTATAGCCCTGATCAGCACCTTACCATTCTGTTTGATTTCCAATGTCAGTTAACACTGGAACAGCCTGCAAAGAAAGACACCAACAGCCAAATGCAATTCAGACTCCTTTCCTGTGGTATGCACACTAAATGTGCACATAAACCAGGTTTATTTAATTGAAACTTGTCATTTAATGTCTAGTAAACATCATGTACAAAAGGACATTGCACCCTTTTTGTAGGGTGGCAAAGGAGGGGGTACCTATTATGCATCATGCCTAATTTTTTTGAGCCATCATGCATCACGGGAAAAAAATTGGCCATTATGCATGATGTAAATTAAGTGTGCAATAGGCTACTTCTGAGTTCTAAAATTTCTCGCTTTCAAAAGGCTGTAAGTAACAAAACCTTTCTTGTGAAAAAAAGCTTATTTGCATGAGAATAAAAAATAATTTTCATATCAATAGCTTCACACTTAGCCTCACTATAAAACAAAGACTAGGAGCATCTCGGAAACGGCGAAATGGTAAGTAAATGTGGCAAATATCTCAATCCATTGAATGAATCAGCTCTGACTAATAAATTGTTCTCAGTGTCCATTGGATAGGATCGCACATTAACAGTTAATTTAATGACTTTAACTGCTCAAAAGTGGGTTTTCTGAAATTTACTAACCATTATTAACTGGTATTCACTGATCTGAGAATAGAGATCATAATCCTGGGGGGAGGGAGGGGGGACGCGCTCCCTTATATGACAAAACAAGGATGTGCTGCTGAATGGGGTATGGTTTTTGCCCTCTCTGTCCTGAACAGAGTTTATAATTAAATGTGTGTGAGTCTGTCAGCCTGCACGATTGATGTGATTGAAGTACCTCCCCCGGGTCATAATACAATTTTGACAGGAGATCAGAGGTTGAGGGACAATAAAAAGGACCAGAAAATGATGTCATGAATATCTGTAGTTTTTGATGTCTGTGGTTCTATTTACAAATGATATTCGAAAATCCAGAACACTAAAAGGAAAATGATGCACCACGTGTTGTCAATATGGTAAATCACAAACCACCCAGCTATGTCTAATCACACCTCAAGCGGCTAATTTGGGCCCGATCACATATCATGCTAATAATTTGGGACCTATCACATGTCATGGAAAACCCTTTTTAGCTTTGCTATACCCTGTCAGTGATTTTGTTACCTCTGTGTCCTGTGATGCAAAAATGCAAAATAATTCATGAAATGCGTCCAGTAGGATGCAATGATCGATCTACATGTATCAATCTGAACATGTGCGTTTGTAGAAAAATCCTGTTTGTGTAATTTCTGTGGAAGTTGTTTATGGCTATTGTTTTATAATGATGCATATATCTTTTACACTTTGTTGAACTTTAAAAATTATAGTCAAGTACTATATTTTAATTTCAGTAAACTGTAATACAGAGTTTTAGAGTCTGTCTTCAAATTAACAGTCTGGATACATAAAGGCCCAAGCATTTTCAATTTCAAACTCGTTGGTTTTTTTAACTGGGACTCACTGGTTGCAGACTGGGACTCATGATTTTTCACAAGATGAGTCCCAAGACTAACTATAACTTTTTCTAGCAAAATCACTGCCCTGTTTTAGCAGAATGCACAAAAGCTGTTTGAAAATCCAAAGACTTTGAATACCAAAGAGAAAGGATTGAGAAAAGTTATTCAAGGTTATAAAATCTGGCAAACTGTGTTAACTGACAGCACTGCAGAGTTAAAAGATGTAGTTCTGTTAAATCAACAAAGGTGCCTCACGACAGTCTTTTATCGCACAAAAAAGCAGACAGCACAGTTCCTAGTTATTACACTCTCCAATAATTTTAACCCTCTCAGTGTTGTCAGAAAGTTTTAAAGTAGACGGCTGAGTTGTCAAAGTAAGCGGCCAGTCCAGGGATATTTTATTTAAAAATAGGCCATCCATAAAGAAATGCCAAGCAGAGTACTTAGCTGGCCGAAACTAACCAAGTAGGTGGCGATTTTCACCGGCAGCCGGCTACTTTTGACAACCTTGCCTCTGTGAGCTTTTCACCTGACTGACTTTAGTCATTCAGTACATGTATGCTTTGGGCTCTCACAAACCTGTATGCCTTTGTCCAACTCTTTCTTCAGAAGTCCATAACTGTCATCATCAAATGAAGGGCATTCCACAAAGCCATCTTTAGCATCAGATACATTGCGGTCACTTAAGAAAACAGGAGCTCCAAACTCACGCCTTTTCCTTGAAATCCTAAACTTCACCTACATGTAGTCAACGAGATCACACAAAAAAAGCTTATGAAGCAGTCAGCATGTTCTTGAGAGACAGACATTAATAAGACTACAGAGCACTGACAGCACAATGAAATCATTTTTAGATAGCGCTACAAGTACACACAGCAATGACAATGTCATTGTCAATAATCTTCTAACCTTTGGTCTGTTTTCTATCACATTTTCATCCTCCACTTCCACTTCACTTCCCAGTGATATCCAAGGCTGTGGAGTCCTAGGAAACTTTCTAAGCGTTAAAACAAAATCTTCTTCTTCAGCCTCTTCTCCTTCACCAGCTTGGAGCTCCTCTTGAGGAGGCTAATGAGATTGGATCAAAAAAATACAAAGTATGGTGACCTCTGTTATTAAACCAGGCCTCAGCACAGCACTATTCTAGCTAGTACTAAGTTGTTAAGGAGACATGACTAAAAGTACCCCATTTCTAAAGCAGGAGTGTTACAGAAATGCTCTATGTGTGTTCTTTATAATTGAAAGGAGACCAGTGCTCTGAACCTGTGAAATCCATGGCAGACGTCTCAACCCCAAAAAGACTAAAATCTGGAGATCAAGGTCAAAAAAACAGTGACTGGAGATTTGGGAAATAAAAAGAACCAAAACCAGGTGTTCATCAAAAAATAGTTTTTTTTCCTGTTTATCAATATTCACCACTTTCCGCCATTTTGACCATGTGGATGAAACGCATCTAGATGCGACAAACTGGTACATATGGTTGTGAGGTCCATGTCTTGTCAACCAGTTGATCAAATATGACAAATTAATATGCATTAGAACTGTGGATTTTCACAGAATTAGTGCTAGAAAATCAATTTTACAAGGCAAAAATGAAAATATTCAAGGAAAGTGTATTCCATCGGCTTGTGAATCTGTTTACCGTGAGATTTTTGTGCCTTATCGTGAGACCTTAAGATTACCCTCAAATCCATGAGGCTTGAGAGGTCTGTCAAGGTGCCCCGTATATGATTTCTAGGGGGGAGGGGGACTGATTTTCCAGTTGCCTGGGAACATAGTTAAGATACCAGAGGCAACCAAGCACCGCCAGAGCACAACCGTGTGTAAGTAACAAAGACATTCAGGCTAAAGTGTACGAACTCACAAAAAGAACTCAGGAGAAACTGTTCGCTGATTGGGCACAATAATACAAAGCATTTTTTGTGCCCAATCAGGAACCAGCATTCTCTTGACCGTTTGGAAATGGTCCGGTGAGAGTCAGTACCCAGGGGCTCTTCCGCGCATGCTTGAAAACTTTTGTCGCGCCTTTTAACCCAGCACGACTGACTGCCCCTGGGTCCCCGAGGATGGTCTAAACATGCATGATCAAATTGTGTCCTGCGCATTCCATGAATTCTTAGTGGAAGTCCGAACGAATGCTGGCTACATACATGCTGGCCCTGGTTGTTCAAACATTGGATAGTGCTACCCACTGGATGAATCACTATCCAGCAGATAAATATTAGGGAAACCAATTGCACTATTTGCATCCCGCTGCAACTTGAATGAAGCTGCTGTTTGGCTTCTAAAAGGCTGCTGAACAGCTGTAATTTAGCTGTACAGCTATTTTGCAGCGATTTTGTGGCGCTGTACAGCGCTGCAAGTTTCGTACGGGCTCAACGGCTCACCTGTACCCAAATATTGGTCAAGTACCTTCCCTGGGTCATAATACAATTTTGACAGGAGATCAGAGGTTGAGGAACAATAAAAGGACCAGAAAATGATGTCATGAATAATCTGTAGTTTTTGATGTCTGTGGTTAGATTTACAAATCATATTCAAAAATCCAGAAAGCTAAAAGGAAAATGATGCATCAGGTGTTGTCAATATGGTAAATCACCAACCACCCAGCTAGGTCCAATCGCACCTCAAGCGGCTAATTTGGGCCCGGTCACATAGCACACTGATAATTTGGGACCTATCACATGTCATGGAAAACCCCTTTTTGGCTTTGCTACACCCTGTCAGTGATTCTGTTACCTCTGCGTCCTGTGACAGTCCCTAATGCATAAAAAATCCCCCAAAATGCAAAATAATTCATGAAATGCGTCCTTAAGGATGCAAAGATCAATCTACATGTATCAATCTGAACATGTGTGTTTGTAGAAAAATCCTGTTTGTGTAATAATTATTTCTATGGCAGTTATTTATGGCTGTTGTTTAACGACGTATAATTATTTCTTTTAGACTTTTGTTGAGATTTAAAATAGTCAAGGACTATAATTATTTTAATCTCAGTAAACTGTAATACAGAGTTTTAGAGTCTGTCTTCAGATTAACTGTCTGGTTACATATTAAAGGCCCAAGCATTTTCAATTTCAAACTCGTTTTTTTAACTGGGACTCACTGGTTGCAGACTGGGACTCCTGATTTTTCACAAGATGAATCCCAAGACTAACCCATGATAACTTTTTGTAACAAAATCATTGCCCTGTTTTAGCTGAATGAGCATTGTTTTAGCTGAATGAGCATAAGTTGTTTGAAAATTCAAAGACTTTAAATATCAAAGAGAAAGGATTGAGAAAAGTTATTCCAGGTTATAAAATCTGGCAAACTGTGTTAACTGACAGCACTGCAAAGTTAAAGGGGAGGTTCAGTTAAATAAAACAAATTTAAGGTGCCTCACAACAGTCTTTTATCACACAAAATAGCAGACAGTACATTACCTAGTCATTACACCGTCCAATAATTTTAACCCTCTCAGGGTTGTCAGAAAGTTTTGAAGTAGATGGCTGAGTTGTCAGAGTAAGCGGCCAGTCCAGGGATATTTTATTTAAAAAATGCCATCCGTAAAGGAATGCCAAGCAGAGTTAGCCGGCCAGAACTAACCAAGTAGGCAGCGGTTTTTGCTGGCAGCCAGCTACTTTTGACAACCCTGCCTCTGTGAGGTTTTTGTCTAACTGACTTTAATCATTCAGTACATGTATGCATTGGGCTCTCACAAACCTGTATGCCTTTGTCCAACTCTTTCTTCAGAAGTCCATAACTGTCATCATCAAATGAAGGNAGCACTGCAAAGTTAAAGGGGAGGTTCAGTTAAATAAAACAAATTTAAGGTGCCTCACAACAGTCTTTTATCACACAAAATAGCAGACAGTACATTACCTAGTCATTACACCGTCCAATAATTTTAACCCTCTCAGGGTTGTCAGAAAGTTTTGAAGTAGATGGCTGAGTTGTCAGAGTAAGCGGCCAGTCCAGGGATATTTTATTTAAAAAATGCCATCCGTAAAGGAATGCCAAGCAGAGTTAGCCGGCCAGAACTAACCAAGTAGGCAGCGGTTTTTGCTGGCAGCCAGCTACTTTTGACAACCCTGCCTCTGTGAGGTTTTTGTCTAACTGACTTTAATCATTCAGTACATGTATGCATTGGGCTCTCACAAACCTGTATGCCTTTGTCCAACTCTTTCTTCAGAAGTCCATAACTGTCATCATCAAATGAAGGGCATTCCACAAAGCCATCTTTAGCATCAGATACATTACGGTCACTTAAGAAAACAGGAGCTCCAAACTCACGCCTTTTCCTTGATATCCTAAACTTCACCTACATGTAGTCAATGAGATCACACAAAAAAAGCTTATGAAGCAGTCACCATGTTCTTGAGAGACAGACATTAATAAGACTACAGAGCACTGACAGCACAATGAAATCATTTTTTAAATAGATAGGGCTACAAGTACACATGGCAATGACAATGTCATTGTCAATAATCTTCTAACCTTTGGTCTGTTTTCTATCACATTTTCATCTTCCACTTCCACTTCACTTCCCAGTGATATCCAAGGCTGTGGAGTCCTAGGAAACTTTCTAAGCGTTAAAACAAAATCTTCTTCTTCCGCCTCTTCTCCTTCAGCAGCTTGCAGCTCCTCTTGAGGAGGCTAATGAGATTGGATTAAAAAAACACAAAGTATGGTGACCTCTGCTATTAAACCAGGCCTCTGTGAGCACAGCACTATTCTAGCTAGTACTAAGTTGTTAAGGAGACATGACTAAAAGTACCCCATTTCTAAAGCAGGAGTGTTACAGAAATGCTCTATGAGTGTTCTTTGTATTGAAGGGAGACCAGTGCTCTGAACCTGTGAAACCCCCATAAGACTAAAATCTGGAGATCAAGGTAAAAAAAACAGTGACTGGAGATTTGGGAACTAAAAAGAACCAAAACCAGGTGTTCATCAAAATATAGTTTTTTTTCCTGTTTATCAATATTCACCATTTTCCGCCATTTTGACCATGTGGACAAAACTCATCTAGATGCGACAAACTGGTACATATGGTTGTGAGGTCCATGTCTTGTCAACCAGTCGATCAAATATGACAAATTAATATGCATTAGAACTGTGGATTTTTACAGAATTAGCGCTAGAAAATCAATTTTACAATGCAAAAATGAAAATATTCAAGGAAAGTGTATTGACCATCGGCTTGTGAATCTGTTTACCGTGAGATTATTGTGCCTCATTGTGAGACCTTGACATTACCCTCAAATCCGTGAGACTTGAGAGGTCTGTCAAGGTGCCCAGTATATGATTTCTAGCGGGGGGGGGGACTGATTTTCCATTTGCCCCCCAGAGCACAACCGTGTGTAAGTAAAAAAGACATTCAGACTAAAATGATTCCAGTCTTGTGTGATTTTCTTTTGACTCCTATAGCCCTAGTTATTCAGCTATTCACATCAAAATGAACAAAGTTTATAAGTTAAAGTGATTTCAACTTAACTAGATTGATATCATTTTAACCCAAATTTATCAGAATAATATTATTTAAAAGGTATTAGAATGCAAAGTAATTACGAATTAAACTAGTAATAACCAAAGGTTACCGAGTGTGGGCTGCAACTATAGAAGGTCTGACAGTGACAGATGGTCGAAGATTTTGAGTGATAGAAGGTCCAAACCATCCTCGGAGACCCAGGGGCAGTCAGTCAGGCTGGGAGAAAAGGCGCGACAAACGTTTTCAAGCACAAGTGGAAAAGCCACTGGGTACCAACTCTCACCGGACCATTTCCAAATGGTTAAGGGAATGCTGGCTCCTGATTGGGCACAAAAAATGCTTTGTATTATTGTGCCCAATCGGCAAACAGCATCTTCTGAGTTCTTTTCGTGAGTTTGTACACGACGGCTATTGACTAGATCACGGCTTGCCTGGCTCACACACCAAAGAAATGCATGCAGTCTGGAATTATCTTTCAGGTTGATATAAATGCTGCATTTCAAAATACTGGTAGTCTTTACACTAGAGCCTAAATAAGCTAAGAAATATTTCAAGACAACTAAATTTTAAATTCTTCACGTAAAAGAAAGCTTCACACACAACCTATCTTTTTTACTTCAGGTTTTCCCACGCAATGTAATTAAGATTGATTAACATGCTTCAAATGCCTTTCTCAAAGCTTGGAAACCGCAAGTTCGCTAAGTTGGTTTTAATGAGATGCAAAGTAAAGTTACTTGAGATTTTGCTTAGGCCTTCACACACGCATTTTTGGTTAAGTAAAACTTAGCAGCTCTTATTTAGTTATTCTTAACAGCCTAGCGTAAAGACAACCACTGTCTACATGAAAACTAAAAGACGCTTTTCTAAAACTACAAGCTTGAGCTTACAACAGGTATTCACGCTTGCATAGCTCACGCCTTCGTAAATATTAGGTAGTTCAATATGCCACGACAGCTGTCAACCACGAAAACCGTCTCATGAAGAGTGAACTCACATTTTTTCAGCCTCTATCGAGATTATTCCAACTCACTTACTTTGTCAAATGCAAGCTAACTCTTCTGGAGCTGAATTTCTCTCAACCATATCCAAGTTCATAAAGAGAAAGAAAATTTTGTCACTGCTTGTTTACGTCCTTCGCAAAACATGAAATTAGCCATTTTCACGTGGTCGTGCAGTGACAGCAAAGAAGTACACAAAAAAGTGTGATGCACATGCAAAGTTGTTGTTTTGCCTTGTAAGGCTATTGCTTTTTTTACTTTCTCGTCGGCGTTTTATCTTAAACTTCCTATTATTTTTACGATACATTGTGATCCGTCAGAAACAGAATTTTCTCAGTGCAAATTGAATTGCTCCTACTGATAGCATCTGAAACGTTTGTCGACTCATTGGTAGTTCCTTCCTTGCTGGTTAGGAAAGCTTGGTGAACGAACCGGGCAACTGTGGGGAGATATATTAGCCGTCGTGTACGAAGTCACAAGAAGAACTCAGGAGAAACTGTTTGCCAATTGGGCACAATAATACAAAGCATTTTTTGTGCCCAATCAGGAACCAGCATTCTCTTGACCATTTTGAAATGGTCTGGTGAGAGTCAGTACCCAGGGGCTCTTCCGCCCATGCTTGAAAACTTTTGTCGTGCCTTTTAACCCGGCACGACTGACTGCCCCTGGGTCCCCGAGGATGGTCTAAGCATACATGATCAAATTGCGTTCTGTGCATTCCATACATTCTTAGTGGAAGTCCGAACGAATGCTGGCTACATACATGCTGGCCCTGGTTGTTCAAACATTGGATAGTGCTACCCACTGGATGAATCACTATCCAGCAGATAAATATTAGGGAAACCAATTGCACTATCCACTGGTGGATAGCACTATTCAACATTTGAACAACCAGGGCCTGGAGATTACAATTGCGGGCTCCTCTTGTCGCTCGCAGTAAATGAAAGCAACAACTGAACAGCATGAACTGCATCTGTCGTAAGTCTTTGGGTCTGCAACAAAGGAAGAACATACGTGTAAACCAGTGTTTAAATTGTATTGGTCACTTACATTTAGGATTCTTTCCTTAGCTTCCTCCGTAAGAACCAGGTAAAAATTCTGACCATACTTGAACACAGGATCATACACCACAAGAAGTTCGTCGCCTGGGTAATCCTACATAAATTAAAACTTATAGCCAGTGACATGCAAAAAGTAGTTAACTTGAGCTTAAGCTTATGTGCTCCAAGAAACTGCAAACCTACCAAGACGATTTGTTTCGCTGGATGGAAATCTGAGACAGCTGCTCGGTCTTTAAAATCCTGAAATACCGCTTCTTTAGGGATCAACTTGTAGGGATTTTCCTCGGTGACATCTTCGTCTCCCTTGCACCCAAATATCTCTTGGGTTTTGCTCGTGAAGAAGAGTGGCATTATATCCGTTGGAATCTCCTCTTCTCCTTCTTCTTCGCCGGCATTACTGGCGCTTGTTTCATCTTTTCTTTCCTCAGGCATTTTTTAAGGATATGCTTTTATGTTTTGCAACCCCGTAGACTACTGTGAGCTTCTAATTGCCGCCATTTTGAATAACAATATCCTGGATCGAGTGGATCAAAAATTCAAACACAAGTAACCATAAGAACGTGCCGTTGACATTTCATGCAGCTTACATAACCTAATTCACTCAGTCAGTTGACATTCACGTGCTCGTCCTGCTGGTACATCGCATTCAGTCCTCTTTTTGCAGAGTGAGCAGAGTTTTGTTGTGAAGATGGATCACATATTCATCGTTTCACTTCTGTTCGTGGCTTGCACTTCCTTAACTGGTGCCATCATTCCTAAGTACAGCATTGCATATTTTATGCAGAAACTTGATCATTTCAACTTTGTTCAAGATGCAACATTTTCACAGCGATACCTCTACACAGGTACTGTCAGTAAATAACCTCAATATGACACTTAGATTAAGCTTCAGTTCTGCCAATTCGGTGCTTAATTTTGGGCTTGAGGAGCAAGATACCCTAGTGAGCATGATATCGCAAAGACCGCAAACGTTTGCAAGCAGCAAATGCGTGAAGGCGCTTCTACATGTACCCCTACAAGCGTACACTGTATGCTGATCCTCATTTTTATATTTAAAATATACTAAGTAGATTATTGATAACCTGCGTGGCAGGCGCAAAAAGGGGAGGTGGAGGGGGAGGGAGAAAGGGAAAAGGGAAGGGAGCGCCTGCGCTAAAGAGCCTATGTTTTTGCATAACGCCTACCAATTTTCTAGTAATCCGATTACGTTTACTGTCAATCAAGTGTCGCTACACTCGCCATTGCAGAAAAACATTACACTCACGGACTAAAGAAATTGGCTTAGTTATTCAGATCCAGAAGGCACTTTGGACAAAATTGGAACCCTTATTCAGCCATAATAAAAAAGGCTTTAGCTTCAAAAGAGGTCAAAGAAATTGCGCTTGCATCAGAGGGCAAATCCTGCCCACCAGAAAACAATAACTACAGTCAATCGATATGTATGTCATGACCTCTCAGTGTGAAACATGCGGCTAAAATAACATTTGCTCAGTGTATAAATGCAGAACCTTCCAGAGCATAATCTACCCAGCAGATAAAAACAACTTTATTGGAATAAGCAGCATTTTGGCATGAGGTAAAACCACCCTCTTTTATTGCTAAGTTACATCGGCGAATGTCATCGTTCGATAAATTGGCTAAATCTTTCGCTGGGTAGCCCAACAATTCCATCTCCTGCAACTGGTCTTCGATACTTTTCAGTGGCGAAATGACGAGAATCGCTGCATTACCATTTAGCTCGTAGTTCTTCGCGCGTACAAACATTTGGTAAATTAAACTCTTGCCGTATCCGGTCCGCAAAACCGCCAGAACATCTCTGTCGGCTAAAAGAGCCCTAACTGCTGATTCTTGCTCTGGTTTTAAAACAGTTTCTCTACCACTAGATAAATTCACATCTCTCAAAGCACTCTCTACAATATCCACGTCTACCACTGCCATCTCGACTGTTTGTTGATTTGTGAAACGCGCATTTCAATATGTTACTCATTACGGCTCAGCCAATCAGGAATTTGCGGACGCCAGCGTCCGCAGATGTGAACAAAAGGGGGTTCTTAGAGCAGGCGTCCCCTCCCCCTCTCCCCAATCCCCCTCCCCTTTTTCCCTTTCTCCCTATCCCCTACCCCCCACCCCTTTTGACGCCTGCTACGCAGGCTAATTATTGATTAATTGAGCCCTATACATGTAATATAAATATTCACTCTAATTTAATTTTGTTTTTAATGAAAGGATCTGGCTTTTATTCTGATATAATTAAGGCCTTAGCAGAGATGCTTTTCCCTCTTCAGATTTTTCTTTTTGTGTCATATCCTTCTTTTCAGGGTTGTCGCTAAGATTTCAAATTGCAGGGTAAATACAACAAGTAGGCAGGGAACCAAACGGCTAGGGGTTTCTTTTGGTTCTATTTTTCTTCTATTTTCCTTTGAAAGTAGCCTTGGGCCATGTTCATAGTAGCCGGGGGAAATCTCCTGCCCCCACCTCTTAATGACAGCCCAGCTTTTAAAGTACCCTGCGAGCAGTGGTTTCTCCAGGCTGGACGCTACACTATGAAGGGAGAGAAACCAATGTGAGCAACTGTTTGCTTCTTTGATCAAGGTGCCGACTTCAGCACTATGGATGAATAAATTAACTTTGAAAAGGAAAAACCTAGTTAAGACTCTCGCAGACGTCGAGCATGCTCGATGGAAAAGCAAACGGATACTCACAGTGGTTTCTCTCCCTTCATAGTTTTGCAGGGTATTTTATCAATCAAGCACCCACCATTCATCCCTGCAAATGCACTGTAGGTCCTCTACAGCACGTAGTCACGTGACATTGATGCAAAAATTATGGGATATAATGTAAACAATACCAGGGATGGCATTAAGGGTGTGCAAAAACTAGCTGGAAAGCCACTTAAAGAGAAGACTGTGCAAAAGACTAAGATTTATGGATTTCTGCAAAATTACATGTACATGTATGACTGTTTAAAAAATTCAGTGATCAATCCATCTACAAATTTAGATCACTGAGTCCTGGGACTCAACATTCCATCAATGAATGAGTCCCAAACCCATTCAATGATTCCCCTATTGAAGTATATNCTGCAAAATTACATGTACATGTATGACTGTTTAAAAAATTCAGTGATCAATCCATCTACAAATTTAGATCACTGAGTCCTGGGACTCAACATTCCATCAATGAATGAGTCCCAAACCCATTCAATGATTCCCCTATTGAAGTATATTATAGTTATGAATGGCAAAGTTCATCAAAATACATTGTATGCATTGAAAAGGTTGGAAAAAACTTGACATTTCAAGGGTGCTTCCTCTTCCTCAGTGGTTTAAAAGAGGGAGCACCCTTGAAATGTCTGGTTTTTCCAGCAGTTTTCAATGCATATTTTGATAAGCTTTGCCATTCATTCATTCATTCATATTTGCATTATTCTTCAAATTTTTTAAAGCACCTTTCAACTTTCTACCAGTAGAGGAGCTCCATGTGTGCGAATCGCGCATGCAAGCGGGGCCCCATGCATATCTATGAAATTTGCTAATCTGTCCATCCGAGAAATTTTGATGATTACGTGACCATTTGTCTGCCGGTCCATCTGCACCACAGGGAAACCAATGTGAAATGCCAAACTCTCTAAGCTAGTGTGGGAGAGCATAACCTGTGTTTAACTTGATGATAGACATCCTTATTAAGGTCAACTGACAGCTACCAAAACAAACTCGATAATAGCCCTAGGCATGAAACAAATGTTTGTGTCCAGATGGACGCACCCAGGACTCATTTATGTACTTTTTCTGAAAAATTCAACATTTTCCATTGCTATATATATATATAGTACAACAGTGTACATTATTGCTTTCACCATTATTTTTTTGTCTCAATTTTGTCATGGGCAGGTGATTTACAAACTGTACGTCTATAATAATTTTATGTTCTTTGTTGTTGTTGTTTTTTTTAATGCCTGTAAACCATCCTCCAACCTGATCCCAGTCAAACTAATGAGGCCCTGCCAGGGTAAAGTCCGACAAGCAACATGGCCCAAAAAGGAGCGAGAACGCGTAAAATGAAATCGTGACAAGAGACAACCTCCCTCGGCCAAATTGCGACTGTGACGGCAAAGATGACAATAAGCGACAAGCATTTATAAATTAAACACCGACACAAGACGTTTTAAAATTCAGACGGGCAACATGGGAGCCCCCTGGGCAGGGCCTCACTAATGGGGAGGGCTAGAGATTTTGTTCAGTATAGTATGTACTCTGAAAAGCGAACTGTGGCAATGTCCTGAACATAATGTAATTACAGACAGCTCGATTAGTTCCATCCGTGCATGTGTGTTGAGAATGCAGGAACTACAAATACAATGTGTATGTGGAGAGGATACCCGTTTTGCTCCTGCTTCCACTTTGCATTATCTAAAAAACAGATGAATTTCTTTTTGTGCTTATCAATGTTAATTGATTATTTCTTGGTAGATCAATATTGGGATAAGAACGGACCCATTTTCTTTTATACTGGCAATGAAGGCTCTATCACCTCATTTTGGGACAATTCAGGCTTTGTTTTTGAAGCAGCTGAGCAGTTTAATGCCTTAGTCATATTTGGCGAACATGTAAGTTTGAACTTTCACTCTACTTGTATACTGTGTGCTAGACTGTACTGCAGGCATCATCAGTCTAAAATTTGCTCAGGGTGTGCATGGATACTGTGGTTCAGTTTTTTCTTAGTTTTAGAAGAAAGAGATTTCTAATAGAAATCTCAGAAAAATTTCAAAGGTCTAGATGAGATTCAAAATCACAACCTTTCAAGTTCCTGGACTGGATGCTCTAACCACTAATTAAGCTAAGACACAGGAGGCTTTGTGGCGAGCAGGTTCAAAATTTGATTATGAGGTATCTGCTTATGTCTGACTTGTAAACTGGAGAGACTCGTTAGTAAACTGCAGTGCTAAGCATATCATCTGTATAAATGTCTGCAAAATTTTCATTATTTGCAATCTTATATCCTTGCCATTACATTTAATGTAATCATGCATGTATGGTCTCATATTACATGTATAGTGTGATCAATAAGGGTGAAATTGCAATGACTACTACACGTATGCTTGACTGCAAACGATTCGCTTTCTTTTTCCACATTTTTGTAAAGCATTACTATTCTGCTCATTCACAGCTATAAATCATAATAAAAATAAAACAAAATAAAATAGATATCAAACTAGTTTGAATTCATTTTGCCCTGAAATGCCTCTCCATATTCAGCATAATTACACATGCATGTTATTTTCTTTATAATATTTAACATCATTTTTTGTTTTTGGTTTAAAGAGATACTATGGGGAATCTCTTCCATTTGGCATGGAGTCATTTGAACATGACAAAGTTGGATATCTTACAATAGAACAAGCCATGGCAGACTATGCTGTGTTGATAACAGAA